CGAGCACCTGGCTCTGAGCCCAGAGGGGGAGGGGCCGTGAAAAGGGAGCTAGAACCCAGCCTCAGGCCCTCGTCCTTCCCCAGCAGGAAGGATCCCGGGAGCTCAGCTCCCTCCCCGGCCCCAGCCGGAGCCTCACCTGTAGGGGCAGGCCACCCCCGACGATGGCACCTTAGCCAGGTTGTCCCGCCGCCCGGGCACCAGGTAGCCCCAGCCGTGCCGCTCTGAGAAGTGCAGGGGGAAGCCGTCCCAGGTCAGCGCCATGAGCTTGGGGGTGACGCGCATCTGCAGGCTGAGGAGGCTGGGGCCCGGGGTCCACGCAGGGTCATCCAGCCGGGGACAGAGCTTCCGGTACCACCTGTGCCCCCGGAGGAGAAGTGTCACAGTGTGACTGCAAGGAAGGCTCTCCCCGAGACGGGCTCCACCCACCCTCCAAGGCCCAGGACCTCAGCCTCCGCTGCCACTCTCTCCCTCTGGGACGTGGCCCGGAACCCCCATGGGGCCCGCAGAATAACTGAAAGGTCCCACTGGTCTAGGCTGCAGACGGGCCAGGAACGCCCAGGGCAGTTCCCTTCCTGGAGGGCCACTGGCCATAGCAACAGGCAGATCTGCCCTCGCCTACCCTCGCTCCTCCGGCCTCGGTTCTCATGACGCTCCAGGGCCATCAGAGTTCTGTCTCTCATTGCTGGTCACCCTGGCTGCCCCTATTCTCCCAACTGTGCCCTCTGTGAGGCTCCAGTGAAGGGCCACCTCCACAAGGAAGCCTTCCCTGATTACCCCAGGCAGCCAGGATCTGACCCTGGATACAGGCACCAGCTGCCCCTGGTCTGCGTGCCTGGCAACTCGGGGTGAGGTAGCTCCTGGAAGGAGGAGCTGTGATGCCATCTGCACCCCAAGGCTGCCGGGGCGGCACACAGCAGGTGCTCGGTGAGCCGGGCAGAGGGAACTAGCTGAGAGCAGGCACGGGAGGCAGCAGGAACCAAGGGCAGCACGCCACCCCGTGCTGGGCCCGGAACAGGGCATCCTGGGAGGGGAGGGGCCAGGGCTCACCCAGGGTGTCCGGGAAGGTGCTGGGGCCGC